ACCCTAGGACACTGGAGTTTGCGTTACCCTAACTCTCACCCTAACCCTAACCCTAGGACACCGGGTCCCGCGTCACCCTAGGACACCGGATCCCGCGTCACCCTAGGACACCGGAGTTTGCGTTACCCTAACTCTCACCCTAACCCTAACCCTAGGACATCTGGTCCCGCGTCACCCTAGGACATCTGGTCCCGCGCCACCCTAGGACACTGGAGTTTGCGTTACTAACTCTAACCCTAACCATAGGACACCGGGTTCCGCGTTACCCTAACTCTCACCCTAACCCTAACCCTAGGACACCGGGTCCCATTTCTGTTTGATTTTCTTCTTCTTTTGCAGTTTTACAAATATAAAACAAACAAAACATTTTTATACATGACAAAAGAGAATATGTGAAACAAAGTAAGGTTGGCTGTAACTAATCAGAAACATCAATCAGGTTTATTTTTTATTGCTTGATTTTCTTTTTCTTTTTCAGTTTTACAAATATATAACAAACAAATCATTGAACATTTATACATGACAAATGATTAAACAAAGTAAGGTTGGCCGTAACTAATCGAAAACATCAAACAGGAGGGTTGACAAAGTAAGCAAAGCTTGATAGTATGACTACCCTCAATGGATACATAATAATACAAATATGGAGACAAAAATATTGGTAAAATGGAAAAAAGAGAGAGAGGGAGAAAAAAGGGAAGAAAAAAAATTAGTAGGGGGTGTACATCAAAATGTACAGATTTTTGTGGTAGATGGATTTTTATTGATATATTATGGTTATAGTATATTATTCCTCTATTCCTCTTTTCTTGTTTTCAATTTGTTTTACCCACGACCACTTCTTCTTCTTCTTCTTCTCCTTTGATCTTCATCTTCTCAATTAAACCACAAAGATATTTATGGTCTTCTTTGAAGGCGTCACTGTGCAACACTCTCTAACAGTGATTAACAGTAAATTCTCCCAACGTTTTTTTCTCTGAAACTAAGACATAAATCAGGCATTAAAAAATCTTAACGCTATATTGAGCCAATTCACTGCTTTGCCGATTTACATTCACCTAACGTTACCATGTGCGCATGCGCACCCTTATTGTTATCATTGTTGTAGTATTATTCCTCGATCTATTCCCCTTTCTTTTGTTTTCAATTTGTTTTACCCACGACCACTAGGCCCTATACTTGTTCTCCGATCTTCATCTTCTCCCATTTCTCTTATTCTTCTTTTTAATATTATCAATAATGATAATATTAATAATAATAATTCTCTTTAATTCTCATCTGTCTTCGGACTATAGACTCTTTCTATTGTTCTGTACTTCATTCCTCTCTCCTTTGATGACTTTGCCAGGATTGGGTTGTCTGCCAACGATGTCCACACTGTGTGACGTCACCAAACCCTGTGCGTAGCACTTGTTTCCTCATTGTCTTCGTGAGGTGATAATGCCCGATGGCACCGATGATTACACGAAGTAATTACAAGATTACACGATTTGACAAGATGCTCTCACGATGGCCTTACGAAGGGCAAAATGGACACACGAATACAACACGAAAGTGAACCATCGCAAGGTCTTCGGGCAATTTTTTGGCACGCCAAAGATTTTGCCACCGCTCACGAAGTTGCTGCCGGAGCCTGAAAAATCCACCATATGAGTTAACGCTCTTCTAGCTCCAAACACATATACTCTTACGTTATGGTCAAATACCTGGTAAATCATGAAGGGGGGCGTACCCTACATGTTTTTGTTTTTAATACTTTAAAAAAAAAAATCCATTTAAATACTTATTAATTTTGTTTTAAGACCACTAATAAAGTGAAATCAAATTGCTCCAAAGGATGCAATGTAAGCTGTTGCCCATGAAGTGGGAATGCATTTCTCTTACCTGTGAGAATATGATATATTTTTTAGTATATAGATCTAAAGTTAATATCTTCTCAGAACTTAATCAATTGGCCCATCTAATGATGTTAGAGATTGATTAATACGTTTCGGAGAAGACAACTATAAGTTTTATCTATCAAGAATAAATTATATGGTGACAATCATTTCATGAAAAGAAAAGGAAAATCTGTAAACTTATTACGGGCAACATATTATCGGAAAAAGAGGAGGTCGAAACAATTGTTTTGCTTTTCAATTGATTTCATGAAATACACCATAAGTGAATCAAGTGAATCCAATGCCTTTGGATATAAGAAGACAAATGCTTTCAAGTAAATATCGACAAAACATCGAAAGATGGGCGAATCATCCGTTGTTGAAAAACATTGAACCATGTTCTAACCCAATGCCAACTTGGCATTTTGAATACTTGAAGGGGAAAAACGTAAACAAACCTTTTGGATATAGAATACAAAGCAAGCTGGGAAAACGTATAGAAACGATAACCCCCTCCCCATTTCCACCATGGTTATTCTACCCTCCGGCAGTGTCAACGGAATTAAGTACTCGAATAAAGAAAACAGATCATCCTACACAGCAAAAACAAAGCAGCCTGGAAATCATACATACTAAATGGGCGACTCAATTACATATACACATGCACCGATGGATCAAAAGTACCTGAAAGAGGGACCGCTGCAGCTGCTTCTTACGTCCCTTACTATTCTGTACATCGGAGCAAAATTTTACCTCTTCGTACAGGGCTAAATTGGCTGCTATCATTCTTGCTCTCAGATGGGTAGATGAATTAGATATTTACGTGGGGGTTGTTATTTTTAGTGATTCACTGAGTGCACTTATTGCATTACAACAACAGAAGGACGAATCTTTTATTCTGGAAATTCTCACAGTGACTACTCACTTAAAAAGTAAAGGAGTTGATATATATGTAAAGTGGATACCTGGACATTGTGTAATAAAAGGGAACGAGATGGCGGATTTCCAAGCAAAGGCCGCATTAGTAAAGAAAATAGAAGTCAATAGTAATCTAAATATGTCAGAAATGAAAAGCTTAATTATTACAAGTTCCAAACTCCTTTGGCAAGAAAGGTGGAAAAAACCAACTCGTATTTGAAAACATTTAAAAAAGATGTTAATAAACAATATATATGTTCATTAGAGAGACAACATTCAACAATTATTCATCGACTCCGCTTTGGAGTCCTTAGACTTAACCAGGATATCCTCAGATTGAGAATTCATGCTACTGGTTTCTGTAATAGATGCCCCAGTGAAATAGAGACTGTAAAACACTTTTTAGTACATTGCCCTAACTATATTATAGAAAGGGCTATGTTTTTAACAGAAATTAACGAATCCCAACCGGAAAAAATTATGGAATACTTAAAAAAGAGTGAGTCCAGTATACAAAAAGCTATTGTACGGTTCTTTCTCAGAACGAAACGGTTTCCTATCAGGAAGTAATACCTCCCTTCGCGCAGAAATCATGAAGTAAGTAAATTAAATCTCGGGTTTTGAATTTTGTCCTTGAAATTGGAGGTAATTGGAATTCGTTAGACCGTTATGATTTCATTCTTTATCTATTCAACTTCATTTTCATCGCCGTTGTTCCGGATCAGCTCTCATTTAACATAAGAAAAAGAGGATCATGGGAGACCAACAGGCACCGATTGGGGAAGTTTTATATTAGAGGGAGCAAGTAGCTACAAGTAGGACAGTGTGCCTTTAAAGGGATAGTGGAGTTTTGTTGCAGAGGGCGCTACACAAAATATTTTTTTGTGAGATAATGAAAAGCTGAGTGTCAAGTTTGAAAGAACATACAATTTAAATGACAAAATTGTCTTTGTTGATCAAAATCGGTTCACAGACGGCTGAAATATCCATAAATATAACGATTTCTAATACTTGTGGTGCCCCACAAAACATTCGATAATTTGAACCAGCCGATGTTGGCTATTTGTTGGCTTTTTCGTGTTGGTTATAATAAGCACAACCAGCCGGCCCGTGTATTTTTTATTATTAATTAATTAATTGATTAACGGTCACGGTATTTTTCTGAAAGTGGAGCTGAATTGGTATATTTTTGTATTGGCTAAATTTTACACATTTTGGGGTCTAAAATTACGTTCATAGAAATGTTAGGTCCTTAAAGAGCACTAGAAATGTGTTAAATCAGAATAAGAGCAACAACCACGCACTTTGAAGGCATTTGGAGTCTGAAACAAGAACTCAACTGTCCCTTTAATGTGGTTAAACACAACTCTCTGTTGCATCACAGTCACACGTTGTTATATAGTCTGAAAACAAACAATATAAGAAATGTAATTCTTTAAAAGTATTTTTATTTGAATTAAAATCCTTACTACAATAACGCCAGAATATGGATGACACTGTGTTCTTAGAAAGTAGGTAGGCCTATAGATAAAAATATTTCTTTAAAATACATAATAACAAAATTAATATTGTGCAGTGGCTATAGTACACGTTCAATTTTAAACTGTAAAACATTAACCTACATTAAAAAATAAAAAATAAAAACATTGATCAACAAGGCTTCCCAAAACAATTGAAGTGCTCGAGGATATGACCATTTTGAAAGCTATAAAGATATACAGAACACAATTTAATTTAATCCACTATCAGGAAAAACTTGTCTAGGAGTTGAAACACAATTTCGGAAACCAATAAATGTTAAAAACCGACTTTTGTATCATTACATAATAATTATCGTCGCCCCCTGAGGTCTCTCTGTGCTTACAAAGGACTTTGAAGCCTTATTATCCCCGCATTAATAGCCAGTATGCTGTGGACGTAACAATAAATTTGAGTCCAGGGCCCCATTTCACAAAACTTGTCATCAGTGACAAATGACAGCTTCAAAGTTATAAGCTAGTGAACTTCTAGCTTGTAATTCGTTATCAGCAGATTTGTCACTGATTTTTGCCACTTGTCATCGAAAAAAGGGCTTTGTGAAACGGGTCCCAGGCAGGTCGTGTGATTACGCTGTGGAAGGAATTTGAGAAGGCTCGTCATGTCTTACAATAAGAATTAACGAAGACTGTGAAGTCGTGGAATGATCCAAATGAAAACTTGAAGAAAAAAAGATAATAAAAGACCAAATTTCCTGTTAATGAAATGACACTGCATGCAATGATCACACATAATTTTGCAGGCCTCTAACTTCTATGAAGTATACCTGTCTTATATAATTAAGCACATTAAAGTCCAATATTCCAAATCTGGAGTTGTTTAAACCTCATTTATTTTTCATAAAAATACAATGATTTTATCCGGTTCACGATGATGTCGTTAGGAAAATAGAGCGCCGGTTAAGATAGTGAGGACAACGAAGAGAATGAGAGCGACTGCGACGTCGAGGAGGAAGAAGACACGGGGCGCACTGAAGCTGGACTGGGCCTGTGAAAGAGAAAGAGAGAGAGAAGAGAGAGAGAGAGAGAGGGGGAATATGAAAGCGACAGAGAGAGAGAGAAGAAATAAGGAAAAGGTGAACTTTATTTTACTATTAAGTTGATAAAAGCTGTGATCTAATTTTTAATACGATCAGAGTTTGTAAATTCAATCATAAGCACACTAGTTATGATTTATTTCCAGACATCCTTTAAAAGGCAAGAGCCTAATTGGTGCTGCCAACGAAACAGGTAATAACAACATAAAGTATTCTGTTAGTAGGCCCCTATTAAAAATTACTTCTTGAACTCTCTATGTTGTGGCGTAATGAGCGAAAACTTTTTGGGGCCAATCTTTGCGAGGGAGCGTAGCGTAGGGGGATGGTGTGGGAGGGGGTGTCTTTTTTATTTTTCGACCTGAAAATGTGCAATCTGGAAAGGAATTTTCTAGTAGTGTTACGTACCACTATGGCCCTTTAGACAAGTGACTATAAAAAAAACGTAATGCATTCCTGGCTATTTGGGAATGTGTCAGTTTGCAACAGAAATGGAGAAACGCGCATTTTGTTGAAAATCATGTGTTATCACGAACATTTATAAATCACTTGTATGGAATTGAAAATAATTCATGGTTTAATTTTATGGGGGCAAGCGCCCGAAGCCCCCCCCCCCCCCACCAGTACGCCAGTGCCACCAGTAGTGCACCTACAGAGTTTAATTCTATATATTGGAGCAACACAAACACATTATTAGTAGAAGTAGAAGAAGTTGTAGTACTAGTAATAGTAGTGGTAGTGCATTGTAGTAGTAATAGTAGTATATATAGTGATAAAACACGATACCATCTACAATCTGATTTTCGACCTAAGGCAATTTTAATAGTCAATATGTCACCTACTGAATTGTGCGAACACGAAAATCACGTGTTACGTAATCCGAACTTGATTTCTATATGGGACAAACTAAAGAGTTTTAAAACTGCCCTTGACTTAATTTTTGGGAAACAATTGCGATCATGATATAACAAGATATTTCCACCACCTCCCATTTCGTTCAAGGGAGGCACAACGGAATTACTAACCTTCGTCGTCCCTTGCTGCTCTGCGGGGTAGAACCGGTAGATGATGGCGTTGATGACGACGACGATGCTGTTAATCAACATCCCAGCCAGAAGGAACCTCCCCAGCCTGGTCACAGAGTACGCCGGCACCTCGGCGCTGAGAGCCGCATTGAGGACGATGAGCGACACAAATACCAGGCCTGCGAAGATGATACGTTCTCCTCCCTTCGACGGCTGCATGAGGAAGACGGCGAGAATCAACCAGACGCTGACAACGGCGGGACCGATGCGACCGTGGCTCTCCCGGCGGCTGATCGTGATGTAGAACGTGACATCTTCGTACACCTCCTCGCAGCAGGCGTAAACGATCGCGTGTTTCTGCACCGATGTTTCTACGATGTGCCACATCGGGTTATCCGAGAAATGACTCAGACCCACACCGGTTGACCTCGTGTCAAAGACTATCCGCGAGTTGTCGTTGATCCAAGAACCAAAAGTGAGGCTGCAGTTCTATACAGATAATAAATTTTGAGGTAAAGAAATGTTTTTAAAGTGTTGTATTTTGATAAAGGATGACTATGTGTCGTGTCCTATATAAGTAGGTAAGATATCAATTAACTAACCCGAAGATAAGTACCGTTATAGAATAAAATAATATTTTAAACAATTTAGAAACCCACAAGCCCGGATAAATAGGCCTATACTCAAAATCAAATTTTCCCAGGTACAACTACTGCCTATGGAGTAATTATTTGGTGAAATTATAGTCCTAGAAATTTTCCCAGGGGTAATTGTCCTAACATGCATACGGTTAAGTATTCGGGGATACTAGTCTTGTCCTATCAGACTGTCCTCGATGTTAAGTTATCCGGTGTAATTGTTTAGCGGCTTTCCTGAATATTATGTTATGGTCCGTGGTTATGATAAAAAAATCCTTTGCAATTAATACATGGAGCGCGTTCAAAATGAGGCAGAAACGAAAATGCTGACATATTTCAATATTTTAGCCCTATACATTTGCTATAACCGCTATCACAATACTCTGTAAAGAGGGACTCAATGGAATTAGATCACACAGGCAAGACTGACACGGGACCGACAACCAGGGGCGGCGATTTCTTTTCATGACCGAGGGGGGGGGGGGGGGGGGGACGAAATGCGAGGGACGATGGAGCAGTGGCGTAATGAGCATGAAGCTCAGGGGTTTTAGGCATTAAATTACGATCAGATGAACATCCAGGGGCCGCCTTAGGGCCCTTGGTGAGGTCCAGGGGGCAGAGTCCCCGGAAGCTCCGGGAAATATCATGCCATATCAGCAACATTTGTAAATCACTGGTATCGAATAGAAATAAACAACGTTTAAATTTCATTGGGGAGGGGGGAACTGCCCCCAAAGCCCCCCCCCCCCCCCGCAAATGCGAGGGAACAATAGTGAATAAGAGGTGTGAAGGTGACGGAAGAAACTACCCCTCACAGGTTTTTTGTTGCATTAAAAAAATACAGACTTAGCAAAACTATAGTATAAAAACAAGTAATTTACTTTTTTCACACTTTACTTTTCTTGGTATTTTCTTGTACATTTTGAAGGATATTATGCGAGGGAGTGTAGCTCCTGAGTGAGAAGATTTTTGCATTTTTATTTGTCTAAACACTGCACTCTTGGGCCCTCCAGAGCCTAAAAGTGTGTTGCAGTCTTTAGTCCGATTTGCTATACATTTTTTTGTTGCACTTATCAAATTTTTAGGGGGGACGATCCCACCCCTAAAAAAAAATTTAGGGGGGGGGGGACGTCCCCCCCCCCCCCCCCCCCCCCCCCCCCCTCCCGGGATCGCCGCCCCTGCCGACAACACACAGAACATTTTAACCAAAAATTATCCCCAAAATGGCCAAGAATTATTGGTCTGTTTGGAGTCTGTCTAGAAATGATTTGGCGATGTGTCTGCCTGGGTTATATATGACGTCGTTGGAAATTTTTTCCCCTAATTTTTTCTTCAAAGAAAATCTTTATTCAATTGTTCTCAAAGCATAAAGCAGTATAAACACATGTACAAAATGATGGATGTATACAATTTTGACAAAGAAAGTTACGACAAAGAACAAGATTCTCCATCTATCAAGAAATGAAATAAACCTATCTTGTTGCGCATAGGTTTTTTGTAAAACTTCATAGTAATATTTAAATTTCTTTATAAAAAATGGAAATGATAAAGATCTCTTCAAACATCTATGTGAAACTAGACAATAATTATTTTGTAACATAGTATCGGAATCTTGCCGTCTTACGTGAGAATCGTAGGGAAAGTCACTGAGATCGAGTCCGCACGAAGCGTCGACGAACATCGGTACGACCAGGTAGATGGTCCCGTCAGGGTAGATGATGGCCTCGGAATGATCGATGCTGGGCTCATTGGAAGCACTAGAGGATAAAGACAGATGGTTATATGTAAAAAAAAAAAATAAAAAAAAAATATGATTGGGGAGGGGGTGTCAGGATCACAATCGAACTTGAATGCATGTGCAGAAGGGGGCAGAAGGTTTAGAGAGGTAATTGCTGCAGATGTTGGACACACCCCTTAATTTACTTAAAGGCCCACTGCACTACTTGTAGCTACTTGCGCCCTCTATATAACCTAATCGGTGACCATTGGTCCCCATGATCCTCTTTTTCTTATGTTAACTGAGAGCTGAGTTGATGAGATAACCACCTGTCCAGTGACCTTGCAGGGCGGTCTAATCTCTCCTGTAAACTACGGCAGATAAGCTTTAAGACAGTGTTTATTCACTGGAACAGTAAAGACAGTATTTTAAAAAGTGCTTTTTCCTGAAAATCGTCTGATAAATCTCATGGTTACTGCCTTTTTGGAATTTTTCTTTCCATTGGCAGATGCTTTAAACAAACTAGGAACAAACTAGGAACAAACTCGTCTCGATTATGACATCATTTTCATTCGACATAAATTATGATTCTCATATACCAGAACTGAAGATTAGCTTTAATTACGGTGTCGATCTCGTATATACCATGTATACAAATTATCATTGGGGGGATTCATAATGTCGAGGGGGTTCGAACCTAGGACCTGTTTGTCTACCTACCTGTTCCAGATACTGATGTCAGGAACCCAGACTACTGAGGAGGAGACGTGGAATCTGCGAATATTACCAAAATCTGCTGGGTTCCAAGTCAAACGTTCATCTTTATACACCTGATTATAGAACAGATGATATTCCATTAACCCTATATAGCCCGGGCTATTTTGAAACTGCATAACTCGGGGGGGGGGGGGGGGCTTGGCTTCTAAGGCCCCCCCTATGATCTCGGCTATTTATGGACCGATTTTGTCAAAACTTGGCGTGTTTGTGTTTTATCATGTACTAATCAAGAATGCTTAGTAAAATTTATGATATCTATCGTTAATTTTAATTTATGTCTTATTAATGATGCAAATATGCAAATTTTTCCAACGAATTCTCATTTTGTCCAGTTTTCCCCCTATTTATGGAGAAAAAAAGCAATTAAATTTGGCATGTTTGTAGCTTGAAATATAATGTAAAAGATAGGGTAGTCAAATTAATGACATGTATTGAAATTCCATACTTATAATTGTAATTAATAATGAAAATATGCTAATTTTTTTTCTTGAAATTCTAATTCTTATGTATTTCTTTGTTTTTAAATCTTTTGTTTTTCATTATTTTGTTATCTAGAATAGTTCATGATGGCCAAAAGGGATGTTATCTGAAGAAAAAACAGAAAATAACACTCTTCTAACAACAATTCTTGTAAAACCCATACATTGTACACACAAGATCATTGGAAACCATTTTTGGAGCCGTTTTTGTGTGACATTGGTCACGAATATGTGCTACATCTCCGATACCATACCCCCTATTTTTGCAAATAGGGTCTTAAAATGTGCGGGAGATGTCAAAGAAAAACTCATAAAATTTCAGCGCCAGATTTTATTGCGTTAAAAAATTATGACAAAAATGTAGGGGGACTTCTAAAGCCCCCCCCCCCTATATAAGGTTAAAGGGGGATCCATCCTCAGGCTGGTGTTAAGTTGGTTTTAATGAAGCAGAAAATGGGAGAAACAGACCAGGAAAAGTTTGAGCAAATTCAGATTAACAATAAGAAATCAATCAAACACGAATTGGCAACTCTGTGACGTATCTTGCGAGGTATCCTCTCATTTGTCCTGTATATATACTAGACAAAATCAGAGATGTCTGTTTTTGCCTAAAGAAAATTTCCAATCATAGATGTACCCTTACTTTTATTGTTGCAAATATGTTTTTATACAACCCCTGTATGAAACAAAATATTCCTTCATCAATAATAAGAAAATTAAAATTAAACAAAAAATCTGTACAGAGAGAATTGGAGAGGAACACGCAGGATACGCTACGGCGTTGCCAATTTGTGTTTGATTAATCGCAACTTCAAAAGATCATTACTTTGTCTATACTTGCCAGTAGGCCTACCCTTTGCCTAAGTTAATGATAACTTACCAATGTTCGCCAAACGTTCATGTGCATAGTCCCTTGAAATAAATCCTGAAAGATATGAAATTCAAAATCAATCAAAGACGTCTTACAATGTCGAATGATTCACTAAATATGAATAAAATAAATCAAAATAAAGGTACGAGTGAATGTGTATCCAAAGAATATTGAATATTGAAGGAAATATGTAAGCTAGTAAATGAGCTACCCTTGTTTGGTTTCCTAAGAGATATTGAAGAATCCTTTTTTTTAAAGAATTAAAGTAGCCCTTTCGTATTGTTCATTCCGTTAAAGCTTATCTGTACTAGTTTATAGGACGGATCAGACCACACTGCAAGGTCACTGGACAGGTGGTATCTCATCAACTCAGCTCTCAATTAACATAAGAAAAGAGGATCATGGGGACCAATGGTCACCGATTAGGCAATGTTTTCTATAAAGAGGGAGCAAGACTTAGTAGCTACAAGTAGGACAGTGTGGCTTAAAGTAAGTTTCTATAATTGTATGCTCTATCTTGTATATTTTATGATATAAATGAACATATACTTTTAAAATAAAATCAATCAATCAATCAATCAATCATTCAATCATCCACCAATCATTTATCAATCAATCAATCCACCAACCATTCAATTATCAGTGATATATATCGATTAATCATCAATCAATTAATTAATAATCAATCAATCAATCGACCAATCAATCAATTATTCAAATACCATCATCATTAGAACTGACCAGTTTTTGTAAGAGCTCGAGATCTATTGATATATTCACGTTGTGTGACTCATCAGGGTGGGGTAGAAAACTCTTGGTGTAGTTCGAAAACAAGGTTTCGTACAGATCACCTCGAAAGTCTGTTCAGTGAAAAGCAAAAAGATAGTCGGTCTGGTCAGAGGGTGTACAGTTAATATTTTGGAATATGTGTGTTTACTAGTAACTTTTACAAATGCAAAAAAAAAATGAAGAAAAAACAAAAAAGAAGAAAAACATGGAAATCATCCCACTTTCTTTTAAAGAATCTGTCTTGCTACTTTCAAAAGATACTTTCTAATATATTGGTTCTTATTAATAAAATGTGAATAACGTATCTAAACGAGTCTATAAATGTTTAAATTTTGTAATTGCATTGGTATTTTTTGGTTTAGCGCTCCCAAATAATCGATTATATTTACATTATAAATAACATAGCAGTCATAACATTCTTTTAATGACTGCATTTGTTCTGTCACAAAGAGAAAATGTGCACAAAATAGACCACTGCGATTCACATAGGTTAAGTGAAATAAAATGTAAAAGGTTTGGGCAGACTAGCTTAGACTTTCAATGCGGCATTGCCAAACATGTGAAAAATAAGCAAATATTACAATGCTACGATTATTATGCTCGGTATAACATTCTCCTCGGTCAATTTGAATAAACATATGACATGTCGTAAAAGATCATAAAATCAAGAATTGGATGAAAGGACATAAATATTGATATTGTTCAGTGGGGTAGCCACTGGAGACACCGAGGCACGATCTAGTCGAAGGAGAAAGATGAAGAACCAAAAAACAAACAAAAACAACAACAAAAAAAAAAGAACAACAACGGCACTCTCTATAAGCATTTCATACATCTAATATTTTAGTGCCCCCATGCTTCGATCCAGTGCCCCCTCCTTAAAAGCTGACCCAATGCCTGGGGCGGATCTAGCTTTTTGCCAAGGGGGGTGTTTGACCCAGTGGCGGATCCAGGATTTTCCAAAAATCGCGACGTTTTATTGTTTTACTTTTCCCCTTCTTTTCTTCTTCTTTTTCTTCTCTCCCCCCCCCCTTTTTTTCACTTGGCCGCCCAAGGGTGGGGGGGGGGGGGGGTGCTTAAACCGCCGAAACACTCCCCCCCCCCCCTAGATCCGCCCCTGAATGCTACACTATTGCTTTTGTTGATGCTAGATAGATATACCTTTATGGGCAGTTGCCTCTCCAGTGATGCCAAGGAGCAGAGCAGTTACGATGGTACAGATCTTCATGGTTTCGGTTGTGATCACTAGTGACAAAGCAAGAAAGAAATTTTCTTTGTAAAAACCCCGGTGAACGCCTACTGTGTACCCCTATCTCCACCCCTCTGTATTTAATGTGATGTAGGGGCACAGTTTAGTGATGACACGTAATAACAAAATAAGAATAACATGATGATTATAATGGTAATAATCACAACAATAAAAATATAATAAAAAAATTAAATTAAAAAAAATAAAAATAAAATAAAAATATAATGATTATAATGGTAATAATAACAACAACAAACCCTATAATATACTACTAATAATAATTATAATAATAATAATAATAATAATAATAATAATATAATAATAATGATTGTTACTCAGGCCCAGGCCCAGGCGCATACACAAAACATACACATAAAAAAAAACTCAAGGGGGGGGGGGGGGGGGGGTTTAACCCCAAAACCCCCCCCCCTTGAGTTTTTTTATGTATATGTTTTGTGATTTTTGTGTGAAAACCCCCCCCCCCCTTTTGATTTTTTTTAATTTTTTTATGCCAATATGCCAATGGCTGATCTAAAAAGGTGACCTTACGTACCCCCCCCCCCCCCCCCCACCCCCCCCCCCCCCCCCCCCCCCCAACGGAACAAAATGCTCATCCCGTGCAGGGCTCCAGTTTCCAGTGGGACGTGTCCATCGGTTTTTCAAATTTCGAGACCAAAAAAAAAAAAATGTGTCCCCCCCCCCCCCCCCCCCCCCCCCCCCCCCCCCCCCCCCCCCCCCCCCAACTGAGCGACCACTGCTCAGGCCTCTAAAAGGGGTGTGGAGCTTTTATTGGACACCAGTCCGTGCAAATAATACAAATACAATTTTAATTTGTAATTGCAAATACGTTCCGGTTTCGATCTCCTGCAATTAACATCATTATTTTCTTTTTATCTCTGTCTGCCTGTCTGTCTTTTTGTTTGTTTGTTCGTTTCTGCATGTCTGTCTTTCTCCCTCTTTAATTCTTTCTAACTATCTCCCCGCCTCTCTCTCTCTCTCTCTCTCTTCAAATGGGAGGGGGGGGGGGGGGTATAGGCTTGACATTTTACAAGGGAACGACCTAAATGATTGCTCTGGGAATCAAGTAAACATGTCAGAGTACTTTTGACAACAAAACCCTAAGCTCCCTCTCTTTCAGCCATTAAAATGAAATTGTATAGAAGATGAACTTCAACATCACGTGACATTTGATGATTGTTAAGAAAATATTCGCGGGATCTGAATTCTTTCATTTTGCTTTGCACATCATTTAACGTTCCCAATGGGCCGAGCATTGTGGTAATCACAATACAGGTTGTTTGTTAGAAGGATAGAGCATTTAATGGGCGAGTCCAAGTTATTTTATTCACAGCTAGGTTACCGACTAATTTATACTCTACAACATCATAAGTCACATGATTGTTAGAGCTTAATTTGATGCGTCTAAATATAAAGTGAAATGAGACATTTGATGTAAGTTTACATGACTGTGAAGAAATACACATTATGCGATAATGATGACAAAATACTTTTGTCTTTGGAGTTGCCAAAATTAATGTAAGTCGATGGTGTGCCCTATTGTTAAATGAGCCCGAATTTGCATCATTTAATAGGTTTTGTAAATAAATTATAAACATTTATGGATAGAACCATAATATAGGTCTATCAATATTGATTTAGTTGATGCCGTATACGGAATGAAAATTTTGTGTAGCCGTATATATAGCCTATAGTATATAATTATATAGCCTATTTAAAGACAGATCGAATATGACTGTCATGTATAGGAATTTCTAGAACATACATGTACTTATTCATTGCGTGATGGCCGTGTGCCGCTGGTGTGCCTATAGGTGTGCCCTGATTGTGTTGCATTAATTGTTATTGCCCAGGTGATAGAAGATATTCACTTGAAGGTCGTGAATTGTGTGAGCATCATAAAAGAACTGTTGGACTGTTATCGTTGGATTCGTTACCATAAAATGTTTCTCTGTAATTTGTTTTGTCGTCATCATTTTTTAAAGGCCCACTGCACTACTTGTAGCTACTTGCGCCCTCTATATAACAAACAATGCCTAATCGGTGACCATTGGTCCCCCATGATCCTCTTTTTCTTATGTTAACTGAGAGCTGGGTTGATGAGATAACCACCTGTCCAGTGTCCAGTGACCCTGCAGGGCGATCTAATCCCTCCTGTAAACTATGGCAGATAAACTATAGGCCCATATACTATACTAATACATTCGTGTGGTAATTGATTCTGGGCTTCTTTCTCAGCAGGCTGACAACTTAACAGTATTAGGATGATGATAAATTTACATTTTTAGCCTCTGGCTAAATATTATTGCTTACACACAAAACCCTATATGTTCATTTATTTCTTTATATTTGTACAGGGCCCCTTCTAATTTGCTTTCTTAGGGGTCCTAATGTATATGTTGTATGTATTCATTATGTAATAATTATATTTTGAGTGGAAAATTGAAATTAAATTGAAATGTATACATACATGCATGTGGATATATACATATATGAAATAATATTCATATGCATAATAAATGCAAACGCACAGACACACACATAATGTATTGAGTATCTTCTAACTGAATGAAAAACAATTTTAAAATGAACTCCAAAAGCATGAGTAGCATTATACCATAATTAGATTATTATGGGTATGAATAACCCATATAACTTAATAATAGGATGATGACAAACGTACCTTATCGGATCCTAACAGCGGCAACACCAACAAAACAGCTCAGGTATATCGCATGAAGTGGCATGAAATGATTTTGGTTCCCAGCACAGTAATCAGGGCAGCGTTTCATGAAACCGTCATAAGTACAAGTTCACCGACATCCCATTGAAACGTGTGTTAAAGAGAAGGTTGAGTTCTGGGAAGAGGTGAAAAATAATTGCGAGCATTACTCATTCTTATTATGCAAGTGTGGAAGAACATCAGTTAAGACATGTTCCCTGAAACACTAATGTTCCATGGCTCTTCAAATGCCTTCATATTCTAAATATGCATGTAACATCGTAAAAATCGGGGGGCCGGCTTTTTACGCCACGTGTTTGTGTAGTCCCATATACATCTTTCTGTGCAAGTGTTGGTAACTTTACCAAGACTTGGCCAAATTTCTTATCATTTTGATGATTCCAGAACCTTGCAATACACACAAATTCTTATATGCTAGATGATCAACCTTTTCTGGTCGGTTCCACACCGTTTCTTTCACGATGCAATCGCATGACCAGAACTCAACTTCATCTTTAAACTTAATACACGCATTTCAATGGGATGTCGTTGGACTTGTACTTATGACGGTTTCATGAAACGCTGCCCTGGCCTGGAACGATCTGACTTTCTATTGTTGTTTCGCCTTTTATACCTTTTCAAACGGTTCGCACCACAAACATTATGCAGACGCGATGCGCCGAGTGACACGGTACTTTTCTTTAGGGATTTTAATGCAAACACTCACAATGGAACTCCCAGGTACTCAAATAGGGAGAGATAGAGAGAGAGAGAGAGAGGGGGGGGGGGGGGGGGGGGAGGGTATAGAGTATATTGCATTTAATAGCTGCTTTTTCCCACGGGGTCTCTTAACAATATATGTCATCATCACATAATTCACATTCTGACCCATACAATAGGCATAATCACTATAGCTATTAGGTGTGTGGAGTTGATAACTGTAAAAAGGAATTTTCTGTACAATAAATCATACCACAATGGAGAGCCCTTTTCAATGAACCGATATCATAGTGAGAATCTAGCTAAGAAATTTTCATTTGCCTGTTGGGATAAAGAATTAAAAGGCCTATATTATCTTCATGGTGGGCAGATCACTTTATGCAGGCATGGCCCTCTTTGAGATAAAAACAAATGAGAGAGAGAGAGAGAGAGGGGAGGGAGAGAGAGAGAGAGAGAGGGGGGTGGGGGGGGGGCTGATCTGATGAAGAGTAGGCCTACATGCACAGACAGAGAGAAGAAAATACAGAAAACGAAGAAAATACAAAATTGAGGAGAGAGAGATAAAGAAGGAGGAAGTAATTGGTATCACTTTAATTTCTCATTAAATTTTCTCTCAAAATGAAGATTTCCAGACCCTTGTAGGTAAGTTCATATGTTTTTCGGATATGACGCTAAAGACAGCAACATTTGCCGATGTTTTTTCATTTGTTTTCACAATTTCAGACCCAATTCCTAAACATATTTTTAATTATGCTATTTTATCTTTTTCGTTCAGTTGAAGATTTCAGATTTTGAAATCTATTCGTTTTTTGAGATATGATGATATGTCCACGAATAGGCCATTTTCGTATTATGTAATCAAATGTAATGCCCAAATCATTGTTAAGTGCCTCGTTACAAATTGTTTCATTCAATTGTTACGAATAATTATTGTATTTGAAATGCATACATTACATGTTGCCAGGTAGGGCAATGAATAGCCCCGCTGTTTTCCGACGGGGTCTAGTCGGTCTACTAATAGGCCTATACCTTTATGCCACCATTATATTCTGACCAGTGGCGTAATGAGCAAAACTTGTTTTGGGGCAGAACAACAAAAATCCGCATCACTACCAGGTGGCATAATAAGCAATTGTTTATGTTAGGGGAGAGTGCGGATATTGACGATCCGTCGAGATGTGGGCCTACAAAGTACGTTTTAGCTATGGCGTACTGTTTTTTTTGCTATGATAATTATTCATGATTATTCATGAGGCTAGAGTACTTTGCATCTACCCACTATAACAAATGACTTGATTGGCTGCTTAAATCAATGTTCTTCATACTTAGACCAATGAGATGATATGTTGATACCCCACCCATTATCCAGGGGCGATGGAGCGTTTACAAAGTGGGGGCACCAACAAAAAGGGGAACCTATACAAAGGGAAAATATGTAATTTTTAGACATTGGTATATGTAGGCCTACCCCTACATTGTGATTACATTATCGGGGATGGTTTCAATGTTTGTTTTCTCTTAAAATGGTCCAAGATATTGCAAAAGCATCATACTTTGCAGTTGGGTGTGATTGTCTGAATATATTTATTCGTGAGCGAGCGAGCAAAAATGTCAAAATTTGTAGGGTCGCGAGTGCGACAAATTACATCTTATAGCAGGGAGGAAAAAAACATTCTGATGGGGTTTTGAGCATAATCTAATGATGAAAGTCTGAAAAGATATTTAATAAGGAACATAATTATATGAACTTTAAATGCGAGCGAGCGTAGCAAGCGAGATTTGGGCGAAATTAATTAAAATATTGATCTTAATTGCTTTAACTTAAGAGGAAATTTTATGGAGAAAGGTAAAAGGGGCACATACCCAAAGGGCAAATGACACTTGTTAGAAAAGAAAAGGAGCAGGTGTCAAATAAAAAAGGGAATTATCAGGGGTGAAAATGGGGCGCTTCTCGCACCTGATAAGGGGCACTCACCAGAGATATATTAAAAAAAAGGGCAATTATGAGAACGGAAAATGTGCACTTATTACAAAAGGAGAATTAGGGGCATGAAATAGTATCAGAAGGGAAATGGCACTGATTAGGAAGGATAAGAGGGCACTTATCAGAGATGAAAAGGGGCACTTCTTGCAAAGTTAAAGGGAGCATCTCTCAAATTTGAATAAGGGCACTCACCAGAGATGAAAAGGGGCACTTATAAGAATAAAAAAGTCACTTGTCAAAATATAGGGGTTACCTCCAAGATTTGAATAGAGGCAATTATAAGAGTGGGCACTTATTAGAGTTGGTAAGGGGCACTAGTGAGAATAGACAGGGGCATTAATTAAAATGGAAACATTTTCAGGGGGTATTTTCCTGGGGGGGGGGGGGGGGGGTGGTAATTTTCCGGGGGTGAGTGTCCAGGGGGTAATTATCCTGATACGCGAATAATTGTATTTAATAGTCAGAATTGCATACATTACATGATGCTAGGTAGGACAAGCCATTATGATTGTCCTAACTACAAACAATTAATGTTTGCAATATGCATTCATTCTTACTATTGAAAAACAATTATTTTGTAACAGGTGAATGAAATAATTTGTTAATTTATGCATTAAGTTTGATTACATTACCAAAATGTTTTATTAAGGTTATGCGTGAGTCACACCACCATATGAGTTAACGCCCTTCTAGCTCCAAACACAGTGGCCCGAATTCACAAAGGAGGTTTGTCGACAAACCTTGGTTTTCGTACGTCATACGACGCGTTTTTACGCGTTTTTTTACAAACCTGGTTTGTAAAAACGCGTCGAAATGCGCGGCGTCATATGACGCACGAAAACCAAGGTTGGTTGACAAACCTCCTTTGTGAATTCGGGCCACAATGTTATACTCTTACGTTATGGTCAAATATTTGGTAAATCATGAAGGGGGGGGGGCGTACCCTGCATTTTATGTTTTTAATATACTTTTTATCCATTTAAATACTTAGTAACATTTTTAAAGACCACTAATAACGTGAATCAAATTGCTCTAAAGGATGCAATGTAAGCTGTTGCCCATGAAGTTGGAATGATCTTAGAGATTGATTATTATATTTTGGAGAAGACAAGTATAAACTTTATGTACTATGGTAACAATTTTTTCATGAAAACAAAAGGAAAATTTCTAAACTTATGGGCAACAGTATAGGTCATAGTCGAATTTTTTTTTTGCTTTTCAATTGATTTCATGAAATACACCATAGGCATACCGGTGAATCAAGGAGCAGCAACGCACGATTACGGCTGCTTCATTTTCTGCTTTTCGCGCAGAAATCATGAAGTAAGTAAATTAAATCTTGGGTTTTAATTTTTTTAATTGAAACTTGAGGTAATTGGAATTCGTTAGACCATTATGAGTTCATTCTTTATCTATTCAAATTCATTTTCATCGCCGTTGCTTGGGACATGAAGCTTTTCACACAATGCCTTGTCCCATTCGTTTATATTCGTGTTACTGTTTAGTGTTGGGACTGTCTACGGGCTGTCTACATAACTTTTTTTTTTAAAACTTTAGTTTCGGGCACCCGGCGTGCTTCAATCAGTCACACGCAAGTTATGTGTAGAGTCTTTGAAGGGGTAATCACTCATTAAAGCATTATTTTACTTTTTGTATAGAAAAAAAATGTTAAGAATAAGAGTTGGTTTCAATGCTATTTTTAATTTTTGTTTGTTGTGTTGCTGCTAACTTAGATCTAGAGTAAAGGAGCCGGTTTTCGGCCACTTAAGACAAAATCCTATTTTTTGGACCCTTTACTTCCTATTTATTATCATTTCTTGTTCAAATCATGAAGCAAATATTATTATTATTTAAACAAAAAAAGAATCCCAGAAAAAAAATCACGAATTGCCATGACAATATTCATTTCAATTTTCACTGTTTCGGAGTCAGTTATCGGCATAGCGAACCAGTTTTCGGCCGCATGTACAAAGTCACGCGCTGTGTGTTTCCGCGCTGATCAATAGCACTAGCGGGCGGAGCAGGTCTCCCACGCCGGAGCTCGCCAGGCTGAAAACTAGTACTGCGGTGATCGGAAATTGGAATCTGAATTAGACATAGATATCGTGTGTGCGTTGCGGTGTGCAGCTGCATTGATTTAATACATGCGATGAGATACTTTTGAGCTTGCGACTAGCACAAAATCGGGCTCTAAATCTCAAAAAACTTGAAATAAAGCTTATTTTATGGTACCCATATTTCTTACAGACACGCGTAAGATACTCGATTTTTGACATTCGGGTAGCGGGACCGCCGATTACATCGCTAAAATGTGATATTTTAGGATATATTTTTCAATGCAAATGTGGTTTTTCAGTGACACTGGCATGGTATGGTATGTGTGGGATATGTGTTATGCTATTATGCGATGTATTTTAATGGGATTTTACCATGCATCCAACCAATCGGCCGAAAACTGGAGCTGGTCGATTACCCCCTCCTTTACTCTAGGTCTAGTTAGAAACTCACGAGAATTCACTCAAAAATCAGTATTTTTGTGACATTTGATGGCACCTTCATAGCAGTAAAATGCAATCAATTTAGCTCACCAATGTTGGAAAAGATGCTTTGGAAATTTGAATTTGAATTCTATTGTCAATCTTGGCAACGAGCTGCTTCGCCTTCGGTGCATTTCATTTCAAAGTGCGCTGAATCAGAGTCGGGCTAACTCGCCCCAGCCTCAATGACTGGGGCGAGATGTCCCGACGGTAGCACTAGCAGTAGTCTGCTAATTTACGGCCAGGCCGAAAGAATGTGAACAAACATCAGCTTTCTCGTCTAATGTAGTACATTCGACTTCTCAATAACGAAATTTATACCAGGAATCAAAAATAGACCTTCATACATTATGAAAATGATATTTTTGCAGTGATTTACTGACAAAAACTGCTCGAATTTCAGTGGTCAGAGTCGATACAACGCACATGTAATGTATGTGCGGCAATGTGAATTGCGAGCTGTGAGTAAATTGTCCTAAATGCCATTTTTTTGTCATTTTACCTAAAGAGAAGTTATAGATTGTCTTCAATAGTATCATTTAACACAATTCCATTACATATTGTGGTTGGAAATGGCATTATTAAGTCACAATGAGCACAAACATATATCGATCGGTGAAGCATGTCGGGACATCTCGCCCCAGTCTTTGAGGCTGGGGCAAAATGTCCCGTGGGGCGAGATAGCCCGGATTCTTCAATCTATGTGTAAACTCAAATTTGGTCGTAAAATGCTTGATCCATACTGTACCAACTACCAAGTAGAACTTTCCGCATTGAGCACTTTATTTTTAAAGCCATTATACTTTTTCTACCAAAATTGTTTGGCAAATGACATCTACTTGTAATCTTGAACATTCAGTGTAAGTTTTGTTTGATTCTGTGAGAATTCATTTTTTTTGTTGTCAGACCTCACCTTTATCTTTAAATATGACGAAAATGAGAATTTTTCAAACTAAAAAAGAATTACGTAAGACTTAACTTAAGTGAAATACTTAACCTTTTAAGGATGCTGAAAAAAGAGTAACAAATGTAAGGTTTGACTAAAATATGATTTTGCAAGCTTTTCGTTTGATCTGATACAAAAATCATATTTTAGTCAAACAAATATCTTATAACATTGAGCGAATGGCAGCCAGCGATTGTCAATCAGAAGGCCCCTTGTAGGCGCCAATTTAGGAAAATGATGCTGAGACCGGATCAACGTAATGTGCATGTGCCCATTCCGCGCATTTAGGAACCAAGTTTTTAGGTGGTCAATTTTGTATTAAACAGTCATCTAGTAAGCTGTAACACTAACAATAACATAGTAACAAGACGATTCGCAAATGCTAGCAAAACGGGACCAGATGGAACAAAATCAGTAGCAGTTTCTGCAATGCTATATAATCACTGAATGAGATGGGACTACTTATTTCATGAGAAGGCTATCACTATTCAATCTTGAATATTAAATATCATTATCATCATCCTCATCAATTAAGTTGAAAACTGATTTCATTGCAGTCCTCTCACCAATGTGAAGAATATCAACAAGCTGAATGAGCTAGAAGCCCAGTATGGTGTATCCAGTACTGCTTCGTGGCATCAGCAGTACAAGGACAGTGCGTATATCTTTATGGAGGAATGCCCTTCGAGTTGACGGAGGGAGATGTCCTGTGTGTATTTTCACAGTGAGTATTGTATCAGTAGTGTATCCATACACTGATTAAGTGAGGGGGAGGGGAGGTCATAGAACTATCTGTATGAGGGGAGGAGCGTATCCCTTTCAGATTGGGGGGGGGGGGGGGGGGGGGACGGAGGAGGAGAGCCTGGAGAGGGTAGACTATACCTGGAGTCCTGGACCAAACAAAAAACCATCCATGTATGAAGCTGTGTAAGTTTTTTGTGGGCCGCTGACCTCTTAGTTCAAGAGGTGAAGAAAGTCATCAGATTAATCAGCGGGAAAATTCTTAGAAATTCTTTGCTTTTGACATTGTAGGATGATATATAAAGTATCTGTACTTCTGTACAATTCTTTCAATTGGATCTCTATCACCTTGACCTTGACCATTTTACCACATCGTGTGTGAATGAGGCCTTCTTAGTTTGTAGGGATGAAATTATACCTGAACAAAATACCCAATCTGGAGGGTGTTTCACAAAGATCCCAAGTCGAACTTAACTCTAAGTTGGACTTGAATATTATGGAGAGCCATTTGTAGCCTCAAAATAAAATATATTCAAAAGTGAAAATTCAAATATTTAGACTTTTCAGAAATTCCACATCAACAACATAAAATCTCCTTGATATTAGACAAAATGAATGATTTGAATCAACATTTTATGCCTTTTAAAATAACTTTTACAAAATATTTTCAATGATGCTAACGGTTTTCCATAATTGTTAGTCCAACTGAGAGATAAGTTCAACTTAGGATCTTTGTGAAACTCTCCCCTGATCACAACCCAACCGAAGCCCGGACCATACCAGTATCTTTGATGAAAGAAAGCATGGAGGAACACTTGTAGCTGGGGCAAACATTGGGTCACCAAAGGTTGAAGAGTCTGTTATCATACCCACAGTTTTATGATTTAAAGATAAAGTTGACTTCTGTTCATGCGATTGCATTGTGAAAGGAACGGTGTGGATCGATCAGAAAAGGTCGATCATCTAGCATACGAGTATTTGTGTGTATTGCAAGGTTCTGGAATCATCAAATCGATAAGAAATTTGGCCAAGTCTTGGGAAATTTACACGCACTGCACAGAAGGATGTATATGGGACTACACGAACACGTGGCGTAAAAATCCGTCCTGATTTTTATGATGTTACATGCCATATTTAGAATTATGAAGGCATTTGAAGAGCCATGCTTTTCAGGGAACATGTTTCATCTGATGTTCTTCCACCCTTGCATACCAATAACAATGATAACGCTCACAAATTATTTGTCACCTTTTCCCAGAACTCAACCTTCTCTTTAATGTCTGTCAAAATTCATACTCAAAAGTCAAAACTTAGAATAATAGAATTGTTTCTCCATGTTGTAGGTATGGAGAGATTGTGAACATCAACCTGGTGCGGGATAAAAAAACAGGGAAGTCCAAGGGATATTGCTTCATTGCCTATGAGGATCAACGGAGCACCATTCTAGCAGTGGATAATTTCAATGGTATTAAGGTACGTATTAATTGCCAGAAGAGCACGAAAAAAATACACGGTGGCGACGGGCGATTCGCCCCCTAAACCTCTGAAATCGCCACGGTAAAGATCAAGACGAGGGCGAAAAAAAATCAATATATCTTGAAAAATCGCCCCCGCCATAAATTGATATTCCCTATGAATTAATAAACCAATTTATTGATGTGTCTGAGTGAAATCTCCGTTCCAACTACCAACTCCAAAACTAGAAACTTCCATCAACATTTTAAAAGTTTTGTGAGTTGCAGCGGATCGGCGGTCGTACCTACTGTAGCTACGCCTGCCTGCGCCTAAGCTCCCGGCGGCCGAACAGGCCACCGGCCCCGATGTAGTTTCGTGTACAGCATGAATGCATACGCAGTTCGCACACGTTCACAATACACAGAAACGTACTAGCTCAGCTCCAGCGCGCGCCCGCACGCTCCTTGTAATTGTATGAAGCAAATAAATAAGTATTTGCGAGTGACGAGAGCTCAACTGCTAGCGACCAAATTGGTACGTAATATGTTTATTTAGTCTTTTTTCTGGCCCTAATTTTTATCATGGACAATGCAATCCCATTAAAAAAAATGTTATTCCGTCTAAAATTGTGTTATTTATAAGTTAAAACCATTAAATGCGAGTATATTTTTACTGTTGTCCCACATACTGATATATTTGTAATAACGAAACGTGCAAAATCAATGCCGGATTTTTTCCTGTAAAATCGGTATAAAGCAAGTTTCGTACACAGAAATTGAATTTTGTTATAAAAAACCGTAAATAAATATATAAAGGATGTTCCTACTCCTCAGAATCTTTCTTACAACTGTTAAATTAAATTAAATTATTTATATACGATCGATGCCAGGCCAAGACATGAGTGATGATGACATCAATTCCTGTCTACGAAATGAAACTAGCTTTGGCTTTGCCTTTAGAATTAGAGTCTATAAAAAAAAATAAGGCCATGATTTTGCATGTTTCGGCATAACAAATAGACCCTACATCGGTATGTGGGACAACAGTAAAAATATTTACTCACATTTAATTGTTATAAATGGTCTAAATAACACAATTTTAAAGGGAGTTGGTCTACATTTTTTTTTAATGGGATTGCATTGTCCATGATAACAATTAAATTTGGGACAGAAAAAAAAGACTAAATAACATATTACCTACCAATTTGGTTGCTAGTAGTATGATGGCTAAGGAAAAACACAACTTATTGTTACAGCTTACAATATGGCTTTAAGGAAGTAGCCCCTTGGTTTTTTTAGGCAATGGGGAAAAGTAGCCCCCATAAAAAAATTAATTCCTAGCCCGCGTGTCAGTGATAATATTTTCTTAGGATATGAAAAACGAACAGTTAAACAAAACACTCCTTTTGACAAGTTTTAGTTACATGTATATGTAAATCATAAAGCCACAAGTTTAACACAAAGTGAATAAATCATGGGTATCTGAATGTCTGCAATACTCTACATGACATATGTACGCTACAATTGTATCTATATTTGCCTTTGCTTGGAATTTAATTAGGTAAAACCGCGTTTAAAAAAATACAACCTTTAAAAAAAAAAGCCCCCCTGAGCTCCAAAATAGCCACCGCAAAATAATTAAGGGGGGCTATTTTTTTAAGGGAAAATCTGAAAAGAGCCCTCGTAAAAAAAAAAGTAATTTTTTGGTTGGGCCGTAAGCGCAGTTTCATGTGTCGTATCAGAATGAGGGTCTAAAGTGTCTATTATGCAAGGTATAGTAGCAGTTCTATAATTGGCGTTGATGTGGTCCTGTTAAAGATAATTACAGAGCTCCTAGCTATTATCCATTGTTAATGTTTACAAGAGGGTTCATGAAAGGGACTTTAGTTGACACATTGGTATCGTTAAAAAAAATTGTGCTTGATTAAGCTAGTGGTTCCGTTTCATAGAAGTTTCATGCTGTAAAATATTTGGGTAAAAAATCGCAATACACTGCATTTGTGCAGTTCGCAAAAGTTTTTCTTGTCTTTAAAAAGCTTGTCCTTTATTATTCGCGAAAGTTTTGTGTCAAAAAAGCTTTGGATTTAACAATATTGTTTCTTTCTACTGTAGCCAAAACAAAGGGCATTAAATTCAATTTCGCGAGTGGTTCTCTGTCATAAAAGTTTCATGCTGTAAAATAATTGAATCTGAAATTAAAAAATGGCACAACACTGAATTTTTGCAGTTCATAAAGATTTTATTGCCTTGAAAATGCCTGTCCCGTACTAATCTTGAAAGTTTTTGATATATAATTATCTTTCTGATGCAGCTGAAGGGAAGGACATTGAGGGTAGATCATGTGTCAGAGTATCGCAAGCCCAAGGATGACGAGGAGTTGGATGATGCAACTAAGAAGCTGAGAGAAGAGGGATGCGCTCCAAAGACACCTCCAACATCTGATGAAGAGGAATTAGTTCTACCAATGAAAGGTATGGTAGTGAATAAGTTCTGTTTTGGCTTAATGTGGAAAGCAAGGCCAAGGTACGTCCCATATGTTTTGAAGTATAATCTAATTATATTATGGAATTGTGAACTTAAATTGACATAAAAATATGTGTTGTCTGAATCTAGCTCTAGTAGGGCTTTCTACGTTGTCTGTAATTCTATGCGTACATCTCAAATAAAGGTTGCTCTTTGATTGTATTCATAATAGTTTTTCTTTCCTAAATGTGTTTAATTTTTCTTCAAACTTTCAGGGATTTCTTTTTAACGCTCACTGTAAGCCAGATTGATAAGCAATTTAATAATTCATTTACTTTCTTGACCAAGTCAAAATGTTTAACATTACTTCAATACTCTGATATATCTTTTTCACATTTGGATGTATTGTTCAAATGTTTAATTGTTTGACACTGTTTTCATATTCAATTTCATTTTATTTTAGGAAATGAGAGACCAGCAAAGAAGAAGAAATCAAAGAAAGAAAAGAAGGAGAAAAAAAAGAAGAGGGCACCCGATAGCGACGACAGCGAGTCAACCTCTGATGTGAAAATCAAGAAGGAAAAAGATGAGGACTATAGAAAAAAGAAAGAAAAGACAAAGCGGGAGATGATAGGAGGATAGTGGATGGTTCTGAACATAAAGGAAGAGGGGAGAGCATGAGGAGATACGACGATAACGAAGCTAGGAGTTCATACCATTCTACGAGATACGAGGATGATGAAACCAAAGTTAAGAGAAGAGAAGGTGAACAGAAGGATCGGAATGGTCGTTTGGATAGGGAACGAGAGGACAAACCAAGGATGGATAAAAGAGAAAGGGAAAGAGAAAGGAGGGATTTGGATGGAGAGAAGGAAAGTGAAAGAAGGAGAGATAGAGAGGAACGGAGGAATGATAGAAGCGGAGAGAGAGAAGACAAAAGAGATAGGAGGGATAGAGATAGAGAAAGGCAACGAGACAGCAGAGATAGGGATGGGGAAAGAGAACGAGATAGGAGAGATAGAGACAGGGACAGGTACAGATGATTATGATAAATGTGAAATGAAACAGACTTTCTTGCTGGACCTCTGTGGTAAAGTGGTTCCTTTGGTTGGTCCTCATTTGAGAGATTGAGGGTTCAAATATCTGCCCAATGTGATTGTCCTTATATACTACATTTTACAGTTTCTTTTGACCCAGGAATGTAATAGATACCTGTCGGGATTAATCTTGAAATGCAATTGGCACAGTGGTTCATTCACTTGACTCTCAATCCAAGGGTTGAGGGTTCAAATCCCAGCCTAGCACCAACGTCCTAAGGCAAGACATTAATCCATATCTGCCACTCTCCACCCAGGTGTTAAATGGGTACCTGGTAGGATACGAAAGTTGTTGTAGTTAACTCTGCATTGTGAGCATCTGTAAGCTGGTGCCTGGCTCTTATGCTCCCCAGGGAGTGGAGAATGTGTATACATTGTTTGTGGATAAGCCTAAATTCGATGGCGAGGCTAATGATATGTACTTCTATATGTAAAGCCCTTTGATAGAGACTATATTGATGCTATATGAACCTAGAATATTTTTGTTATTTTCAGGTCGTTTGTTGACATGATACATGTGCTTAACCAAAAATAGAGTCATTATTCTTGTCAACATTTTATTTTATTGAGCAAGACTGATCCGATAGGAGGGTTGAAGATGAATTTTGAGTGGAGATGTCTGAATTTGTAATGCTGTGAAAGAGAAAGGAAAATCAGCGAGAAGACACAGAAGAAGAAAAGGCAAAGATGACCAACCGTAACGAAGATGGAAAGATTTTGATTTGGAAAAAGAAGCCAAGTAGAGGTTTTAAACGTTCCATATAGTGTAAATCATATAAAATTGCATGGCCATGATGAGCAAGATGTCGGAGGATAGTGCACCAGCTAATGAGCATTTTCTCAAGATTGCTCAACGAGTGAAATATTTTAGAGAGGAGAGTGCGATATATTGTCCCAAGTCACACAAAAGTAGAGCCATTCAGTTTCATCAAATTAAAATTAGGTGAAACCAAGTGGTCTTTTTTTTCTTCAATTTTCCATTTATACCATTATGTTTTTGTACTAAATTTCACATTTATCAGAGCAACAAAGTTTTGATAAAGAATGGGTAATTATGTCCATTGTCTTTGCATAATTAACTGTGAATTCTTTTTATATGTTGATTGTAAATAAAAGAAATGAGATATTGCATTACTTTGTGCAAACCATGGTATATTCCTATTGTTCTGGTCTGCTTATAACAATTGATAGTAATTCCCTGCTCTGAAAGCTTTAGACAATAATCTGAAATAGTTTAGCTGTCCCTTCGATCGTCCCAGAATGTGAATACCGGTATTTCTATCAGTTGCAGATCCATGATTATCAGGTGGGAGGTGGAGGGGGGAATGGGATTATGTGTCGTTTTGGCTTTTACAAATCTGACAAGAGGAGGAGGGGGGTAACAATTGGCGAACGATGCTGGTTTGCATTTCATAAATTGTGTGTGTAGGTTATATGCATGAATAGGTTTTAAATATATTGACAACGTGCATATTAAGTATGTGCCCCTTTGCTTTTTTTCATTTTGCATGTAAAATGTTTTATAAAACCCATGGTTTCACAAGGGGTCCCGAATCAAAATGATTTGCCCCGTTTAGGTTTCATGGGAGGGGGGGGGGGGGGGGGGGGGGGGGGCTGGGTATGAACACTAGACCCAGTTTAGCGACGAGCCTCCTTAAACCAGTCAAGACTAAACAATTCATTTTTATAAGGAAAAGGGAAAAGTGACAAGAGAGCGATATATAAGGAGAAGAGAGGATGTAGACGGACAGTGTTGGGATTAAGAAGTAGGATAAGAGGAGACTGCTTTAGAGAGAGAGAGAAGAGGAATATTAGAAAGATAGATAAAAGAGAGAAGAGACAACTTGAGAGAGAGAGAGAGAGAGAGAGAGAAGAGGAATATTAGAAAGATAGATAAAAGAGAGAAGAGACAACTTGAGAGAGAGAGATAGAAGAGGAATATTAGAAAGATAGATAAAAGAGAGAAGAGACAACTTGAGAAAGAGAGAGAGAGAGAGAAGAGGAATATTAGAAAGATAGATAAAAGAGAGAAGAGACAACTTGAGAGAGAGAGAAAGAGAGAGAGAAGAGGAATATTAGAAAGATAGATAAAAGAGAGAAGAGACAACTTGAGAGAGGGAGAGAGAGAAGAGGAATATTAGAAAGATAGATAAAAGAGAGAAGAGACAACTTGAGAGAGAGAGAGAGAGAAGAGGAATATTAGAAAGATAGATAAAAGAGAGAAGAGAACTTGAGAGAGAGAGAGAAGAGGAATATTAGAAAGATAGATAAAAGAGACAACTTGAGAGAGAGAGAGAAGAGGAATATTAGAAAGATAGATAAAAGAGAGAAGAGAACTTGAGAGAGAGAGAGAAGAGGAATATTAGAAAGATAGATAAAAGAGAGAAGAGAACTTGAGAGAGAGAGAAGAGGAATATTAGAAAGATAGATAAAAGAGACAACTTGAGAGAGAGAGAGAAGAGGAATATTAGAAAGATAGATAAAAGAGAGAAGAGAACTTGAGAGAGAGAGAGAAGAGGAATATTAGAAAGATAGATAAAAGAGAGAAGAGACAACTTGAGAGAGAGAGAGAGAGAGAGAGAGAGAAGAGGAATATTAGAAAGATAGATAAAAGAGAGAAGAGAACTTGAGAGAGAGAGAGAAGAGGAATATTAGAAAGATAGATAAAAGAGACAACTTGAGAGAGAGGGAGAGAGAGAGAGAGAGAAGAGGAATATTAGAAAGATAGATACAAGAGAGAAGAGACAACTTGAGAGAGAGGGAGAGAAGAGGAATATTAGAAAGATAGATAAAAGAGACAAGAGACAACTTGAGAGAGAGAGAGAGAGAGAGAGAGAAGAGGAATATTAGAAAGATAGATAAAAGAGAGAAGAGAACTTGAGAGAGAGAGAGAAGAGGAATATTAGAAAGATAGATAAAAGAGACAACTTGAGAGAGAGGGAGAGAGAGAGAGAGAGAAGAGGAATATTAGAAAGATAGATACAAGAGAGAAGAGACAACTTGAGAGAGAGGGAGAGAAGAGGAATATTAGAAAGATAGATAAAAGAGAGAAGAGACAACTTGAGAGAAAGAGAGAGAAGAGGAATATTAGAAAGATAGATAAAAGAGAGAAGAGACAACTTGAGAGAGAGAGAAAGAGAGAGAAGAGGAATATTAGAAAGATAGATAAAAGAGACAAGAGACAACTTGAGAGAGAGAGAGAGAGAGAGAAGAGGAATATTAGAAAGATAGATAAAAGAGAGAAGAGACAACTTGAGAGAGAGAGAGAGAGAGAGAAGAGGAATATTAGAAAGATAGATAAAAGAGAGAAGAGACAACTTGAGAGAGTGAGAGAGAGAGAGAAGAGGAATATTAGAAAGATAGATAAAAGAGACAAGAGACAACTTGAGAGAGAGAGAGAGAAGAGGAATATTAGAAAGATAATAAAGAGAGAAGAGACAACTTGAGGGAGAGAGAGAGAGAGAGAAGAGGAATATTAGAAAGATAGATAAAAGAGACAAGAGACAACTTGAGGGAGAGAGAGAGAGAGAGAAGAGGAATATTAGAAAGATAGATAAAAGAGAGAAGAGACAACTTGAGAGAGAGAGATAGAAGAGGAATATTAGAAAGATAGATAAAAGAGAGAAGAGACAACTTGAGAGAGAGAGAAAGAGAGAGAAGAGGAATATTAGAAAGATAGATACAAGAGACAAGAGACTACTTGAGAGAGAGAGAGAGAGAGAGAGAGAAGAGGAATATTAGAAAGATAGATAAAAGAGAGAAGAGACAACTTGAGAGAGAGGGAGAGAAGAGGAATATTAGAAAGATAGATAAAAGAGAGAAGAGACAACTTGAGAGAGAGGGAGAGAAGAGGAATATTAGAAAGATAGATAAAAGAGAGAAGAGACAACTTGAGAGAGGGAGAGAGAGAAGAGGAATATTAGAAAGATAGATAAAAGAGAGAAGAGACAACTTGAGAGAGAGAGAGAGAGAAGAGGAATATTAGAAAGATAGATAAAAGAGAGAAGAGAACTTGAGAGAGAGAGAGAGAGGAATATTAGAAAGATAGATAAAAGAGACAACTTGAGAGAGAGAGAGAAGAGGAATATTAGAAAGATAGATAAAAGAGAGAAGAGAACTTGAGAGAGAGAGAGAAGAGGAATATTAGAAAGATAGATAAAAGAGAGAAGAGAACTTGAGAGAGAGAGAAGAGGAATATTAGAAAGATAGATAAAAGAGACAACTTGAGAGAGAGAGAGAAGAGGAATATTAGAAAGATAGATAAAAGAGAGAAGAGAACTTGAGAGAGAGAGAGAAGAGGAATATTAGAAAGATAGATAAAAGAGAGAAGAGACAACTTGAGAGAGAGAGAGAGAGAGAGAGAGAGAAGAGGAATATTAGAAAGATAGATAAAAGAGAGAAGAGAACTTGAGAGAGAGAGAGAAGAGGAATATTAGAAAGATAGATAAAAGAGACAACTTGAGAGAGAGGGAGAGAGAGAGAGAGAGAAGAGGAATATTAGAAAGATAGATACAAGAGAGAAGAGACAACTTGAGAGAGAGGGAGAGAAGAGGAATATTAGAAAGATAGATAAAAGAGACAAGAGACAACTTGAGAGAGAGAGAGAGAGAGAGAGAGAGAAGAGGAATATTAGAAAGATAGATAAAAGAGAGAAGAGAACTTGAGAGAGAGAGAGAAGAGGAATATTAGAAAGATAGATAAAAGAGACAACTTGAGAGAGAGGGAGAG